AGGTCCTCCACAGGTTCTCTGTGGGAGGGTCTCACTTTGCTGGGACTAATGCAGTTTTGTCCCAAAAAGGATGTTGCCTGCCAGTGATTTTGTCTCCAACGAGGCAGTGCCACCTCTTCCAGATGTGCTCCAAGTAGGAGGAACCGTCTTTCCCAGTCCATCCCATGGGATCCTTAGTTTGTGCTGTCTGCCCCTGGGCTATCTTCCCTCCTTCTCCACAGGATCATTGCATTGCCCTCTGGGCTCTACAGTAGCCACACCTGGGACCTCTAAAACTCCAGTCTTTGATCCCCTCTGGTTGTAAAAACTCTCAGAAATCAGCCCATCTTGTTTTCTTAGCAGTGTCATTGGATAAATGTTTTCCTTGTGCGTATCTCTCTGTGCTCCACTCTCTCTCACCTTTCTCTATTGCTCTGCCATGTTAACTCCCCCCACCAGAATCATGTTTTTAAGTGTAAAACATAAAATAGATAGGATTACAAAGGAAACTAACTATATTTAAATATAGTTACCAAATTATTTTTTCAAAGTAAAATAAGAGAAATAGATACTTATATTTACACAAAAACTTACGCACAGTTGTGCATAGCAGTTTTGTTCATAATAGAATAAAATTGGTAACAACCCACATATCCTCAATGGGTGATTGGTTAAATAACTGTAGTATATCCTTTCTATGTAAAACTACTCAGCAATAAACAAGAACAAACAATTGATATGTGCAGTAACTTATATGAATCTCCAGGTTATTCTGCTGAGTGAACAAAGCCCATGCATGCTAAGAGGTTACTACTGTAAGATTTCCTATGTATGACGTTCTTGAAAAAGCGGAATTATAGAAATGGAAAATAGATAATTGGTGACTGGGGGTGGAGGGTTCTGGGATGGATTTGAGTGTAGTTATGATAGGGCAAAATGTGGCATTTCTGTGGCAGTGGAAGTATTCCGTATGTTGATTTTGGTGGTTGGGTACGTAAATGTACACATGATCAAACTGCACTGAACTAAATACACACACATACACACACACAGAAATGCAAGTAAAACTAGGGAACTCTGCATAAGATAGGTGTTATTTCTCATTATCATTATCCTGATTGTGATATTGTTATATAATTCTGCAAGATGTTATCACTGGGGGAAACATAATATCTATGCATTTTTCTTTAAATTACATGGTTATTTATAATTATCTCAAAATAGAAGGTATAATTTAAAAATGAAGACAGAGCAATGTGCTTCTTTACAATATTTATTAAATAACAAGACCAAGTGGTAGCTTGTATAACTAAGGTAATTCTGAAGAAATAGTGAGCATAATTGGTATTTTGAGATACTGTTACAAATGTGGTATGTGTGGTACAATGGGAAAATACTTGTGACTTTTAGTCGCATTGATCAAGTTGTAGGTGCTGCTTAAACTACTCTGGTCTGTCCTACATTCATAATTGAAGATGATGGAAGCTTCAACTAAGTGGGTATTGAAAATAAAGATGTTATTTCTTCCCTTCCATGTGTACATACTCCATTAATGGGACCCAGGTTTAGGAACTCCTGGGTTACTTTAAATCTGTTTACATTTTATTATCTGATACATCTCAAGGGCCTCTGTCAAATAAAAGGTAAGTATAATACTTAAGCTTTTTTTTTAATCAAATACTGTGATTGGTTATAAGGGCTTATAAAAATTGCTTTATACTTTTAAGGATTTACTTGGTGTGACTCACCCATATGCCCATTGTTCACCCCAATTGTGAAATACTTGTTTTAAAAGGAAATATGGGTAGATTTTAAGTATGGACTAGATCATACATTTATTTTGTTTCATATGAAAGAGAAGTGTGGAAGATTTGTTATACAGATTGGCTAATTTTGAATATTGTTAAATATTTTAATTAGCCTTCACTAGCAAATTATTTAAGAGTGGTTTAGCTTTTCTTTGTTTTTTGTCTCTGAAAGTGTATAGAGCAAATGAGGTGGCTTTTTGTAAGAAATGCAGTTCAATGTTTTGAGATCAACATTCTACTTATTAAAATATTATTCTTTTGGGGTGCCTGGGTGTCTCAGTCAGTTAAATGTCTGCCTTTGGCTTAGGTCGTGATCCCAGGGTCCTGGGATCAAGCCCCACGTCAGGCTCCCTACTCAGAGGGTAGTCTGCTTCTCCCTCTGCCGCTCCCCCTATTTGTGTGTGCATGCTCTCTCTCTCTGTCTCTTTCTCTCAATTAAATAAAATGTTTAAAAACATAAAATAAAATATCACCCTTTTGTCTCAGTTAATGTAAAAAAATTAAAATTTATTGTGTATTTAATCGAGCAATTATTTGATGTTATTATGAAATATTTTCCTCCATACTCTACAAATTATATTTGTGTTCCACAACAGAAGAAATAACAATAGGGCTATAGAATTTAAATATATTATTAGAGGTTCTGTGTACTTGACATTTCTAATAGTACATGTACTGAAAGAAGGATTTAAGTGTTTTTTCTTTGGTCTTAGATTCTGTGATTTTGAGGTGAAATAGTTTCGCTAATGTTTGATATATAGAAACTTCAATAAGTAAACAATACATGATTTCTCATCAAAAGTCCTATATTTTAAACATTTTAGTTAATCACATTTATATGCGCTCAGTCAGATCCTTTTGGGACAAATAGTATGTATAACTTGAAGAATAATGATGCTTTTTTTGTTATTTTAACATAATAAATTTATTCAGACAATCATAATGGAAGCAAACAATTTGAATTATACAGTGATAATATGTAGATTTTTACTCTGAAGAATGTAAAAACAATCGATGTTATATTAGTTTGCTAGGGCTGCTGTAACAAATACCACAGATTGGGTGACCTAAACAACACGTATTTATTTTCTTAAAATTCTAGAGGCCAGAGGTCAAAGATCAAGGTGTCCATAGGATTTGTTTCTTCAAAGACCTCGTTCCTTGGCTTATAGATGGCCATCTTCTTCCAGTGTCTTCAACTTAATGGTTTTTTCATATTGTTAAAAAAAAAAAACAAAAAATCTTTCTTTTTCCTGTCCTAGAATTTCATGTATGTTCTCTTATTTTGCCCTCTGATAAGGTCTTAATTAAAAACATTGTGTCCTGCAATGGAAAATGACAATATGAAGTTATACCATGATAGTAATTTTCTGTATAGGTTTTTATCTTAGAGATCTTGAATTGATAATATGTAGTATCTTTTAGGCTATAATTTTCAAGCAATTTCAAGAATTTTTATGGCAAATTTTAAATAAAATTATTTGAAATGTAATATATTTATTTAAAATACCTTGTATTTTTTTGATAAATGAATTATGTAACTCATTCTCCCTTTATGAAATACGTTTTTTAATAGAACTCATTTGAGATACTAATTGATTTGGTAATACATTTGAATACAGGAGAAAAGTCTCGTACACATACAAACATATAAACATACATAAGCATATAGATAGAAAAAATTTAGCGGAAATGTGTTTCTTATATAACTGAAGTGAAGCCATCTAAATTTTTAGCAACATACTCAGAGTTGTATAGCTCACCAAATACATCACTCTTAGAATGAATAGGTAGATTGACTTGAACCAGGCTCTTGTTTTGTTTTTTCCTACTGAAACTCAAGGACAGATGATGAGGAAAATGGGTTTTCTCTTTCTTATGCTTTTTTCCCCCTCTTTCTTATGCTTTTAATGTTATAGGAGCCTCTCAAAACAATACTGTGAATCGTTGTAGATATAATTCCAAATTTGTTAATGTATAACATTGTCTTTTCAGAGAACTGCAGTGATAGATAAGAAACTTAGTGTGAATAATGTAGCCAAAGAAAACTGACTACATTATGGTTTATAAATCATGCTCAATAACAGTAACAATATTTCTGTTTTCATGACAATATTATTGTCCTATCTGAAGATGATATCACTAATAGTAATTGCTATTTCTCTGCATACTGTAGTTGAAAATACTCATGTACAGATCAGTAGTTCTTCCCAGTGTTTGCAGCAAGATACCTTTACAACTTAGAAGTATGAAGTCTTAACTCAGATTACAAGGAAATGTGTATTTACATTGAAGAGTGACAGACCATGCTCAGACTAAGTCAATTAAAATTCGTAAGTGGTGGTAAAGTCTTATAAGGGGGAGCTTGGGAAGGTGGCAGAATAGGAAGACTCTGAGCTCACCCCATCTCTTGTTTCTAAGTAGATATTGTCCACATCTAAGTCAACAAACAAAAGCATGTAATCCAAATACTGGGAGAACAAACTCCACAACTAAATATAGATAAGAAGCTGCGGCTTAAAGGTTAGGAAGCTCAGAAAGGGGGAGGGAGGCTGCCCACAGGGACAGAGCTGCGTGGAGAGAGGGGGGAGAAACTGGTCTTCAATCCAAGGAGCTCACTCAGGGAAGACTAATCACCATAATATTTGGCTTTAAAAACCAGAAGGGCTGAGTCTGCAAGTTTATAAAACCAGACATACTAGGAGCTTTTAATGTTTGGAGACTCAGCACTGAGTGAGCCCTGAGGGTGAGTGATAGCTGGGTTGTGACCCTTAAAGAGACAGGATCCTGCATGGAGAGGCAACATAAAATTGCCAGTTTTCACAAGCTGGGGTCAAATGGGAGACAAATCTGTTCATACTAACTTCAGAGTAGGTCGGTGGACTTCTCCATAAACAAGGGAGCTGGCAGGTGCCATTTTCCTCTCCCACTCGCCAGTATAAACACAGAGCCACCTGCCAGAGGCAGGGTGGTATAGACCTTTGCTACCTAACCCCTAGCAGTGTACCAAGCCCACAAGTTTTCCTGAAGGAATAGTCCATTCCAAACCTGCTGGCAAATTTTGTTAAAAATGCACATGTGCCCCAGTGACCAGCCACCAGTGCACAGCTGCCACAGTGTGCTGCACACATACCCCATGGTGCCCAGCCGTGCACCCCCAGGCACTGTCATGTGCTGCACCTAACTACATGCCCCCAGCTGTGTTTGTGCCGCATGAAGGAGCTGCAACGTACAGCACCCAGCCACCTGTGCCCAGCTGGTATAATGCCTTGCACTCAGCTTTGCACACCCACCTACTGTTGTGTTCGATGCCCAGCCGCCAAAGGCACAGCTGCTCTTGTGTGTGCTGCACAGAGCTGCCATGCTGGACCCAACTGCCAGATGGTGCCCACTTGTGCACCCCCAGGCACCTTCACATGCCAGACCCAGCTGCACCCAGCCATGTACCCCTGGAAACTCTGGCATGTAGTCCCCATCTACCACAGTGCATTGAGGGATCCAGAATAGGACTAGTGACTCAGCACAAAGTTTGCTTTTACTGCCACCCCACTCCCTAGTTCCCCGACAGGCATGCCCCCACAGAGCTGGCCTGCATCAGTACCACTAATAACACAGGGAGCGAGCAGAGCCCACAACAGGTAGAGAGTCAGTGTAGATCACTGCACCAAAAGGAAAAGTGACTCAGACACAAGAGCAGGGCATAAGCAACACACATTGGATACTTTCCTGAAGTGCCAAGTTCTGGTGAACAGGGGACACTGCACTGCATGGCACCCAAGGACCTTCTCTTTGTAAAGTCACTACTTCAAAAGCAGAAGACACAACTAACTTTCTTAACACATAGAAACAGTCACAGAGAAGCAGAAAAAATGGAGATAGAGAAATTTATCCCTAATGAAAAACAGGACAAGGCCATGGCCAGAGAGCTAAGTGAAACAGATATAAGTAACATGCCTGATAGAGAATATACAGTAATGATCATAAGAATACTCACTGGACTTGATAAAAGAGTGGAAGACATAAGTGACACACTTAACACAGAGATACGGAATAACATGGAGAGGTAAAAGATATAATAAATGAGGAATATGCTTGATGTAATGAATGGCAGGAAGGAAGAGGGAGAGGAAGGAATTAGTGACCTGGAAAACAGAGTAATGGAAAGTAATCAAGCTGAACAAAAGAGAAATGAATTATTCAAAATGAGAATAAGTCCAGAAGAAGAGAGAGAAAAGGGGAAGAAAATTTATTTGAGCAAATAATAGCTGAAAGCTTCCCTGTTCTGGGGAATGAAACAGATATCTAAATCTAGGAGCTACAAAGAACCTGCAACAAAATCTACAAAAGTAGACTCACACTAAGAATATTATAATTAAATTGGCAAAATATCTTGATAAAAAGTCTTAAAAGCAGCAAGACAAAAGAAGTCAGTAATTTCCAAGGGAAAACTCATAAGACTAGCAGGAGATTTTTCAACAGAAACATTACAAGTCTGAAGGATGTGGCATGATATATTCAAAGTGCTGAATGAGAAAAATCTGCAGACAAGAATACTTGGTCCAGCAAGGCTATCATTCAGAATAGAAGGAGAGATAAAGAGTTTCCCAGAGAAACGAAAACCAAAGGAGTTAGTTCTGCAAGAAATATTAAAAGGGACACTTTGAGTGGAATGGAGACACCAAAAGTGATAGTACAGAGGTGTGAAACACAAAAAGCAGAAAAAATGAATATTTTTATTAAAAAAATCAGTCAAGTAACTAACAAAATAAAGGATATAAGAATGTAATAACATACACCTAGAACATGGGGAGCATAGGAGAAAAGAATGGGTTCAAACTTAAATGACTATCAACTTAATATAGATGGCTATATACAGAGGAGGTTTTATACAAATCTAATGGTAACCATATATCAAAAACCAGTAATAAGCACAAAACAAGGAGAAAGAAATCCAGATCTATCACCAGAGAAAATCAGTAACACATGAAAGAAAGATAAGACAAAATCTTCAGAAACAGCCCCAAAACAAGTAATAAAATGGCAATAAGTAAACATCAATAATTGCTTTGAATTTGAAACACTCCAATCAAATGACATAGGTGATAGAATGGATAAAAAAACGAGACCCATTTATATGCTGCCTACAAGAGACCCATTTTAGACCTAAGGACACCTGTAGATTGAAAGTGAGAGGATGGACAAATAGGTATCATGCAAATGAATATTTTTTTTAAAGATTTTATTTATTTATTTGACAGAGAGACAGAGAACACAAGCAAGGGGAGTGGGAGAGGGAGAAGCAGGCTTCCCGCTGAGCAGGGAGCCCAATGTGGGGCTCGATCCCAGGACCCTGGGATCATGACCTGAGCCGAAGGCAGACGCTTAACCAACTGAGCCACCCAGGCGCCCCATGCAAATGAATATTAAAGAAAGCCAGAGTAGCAATACTTACATCAGACAAAGTAGACCTTAAGATAAACACTGTAACAAGAGACATAGAAAGACAGTATATAATAATGAAGGGGACAATCCAACAAGAAGAAATAACAATTTAAATATTTATGACCCAACATGGGAGCACCCAAATACATAGTACTTTAAGTCCTAGTCACAGCAATCAGACAACAAAAAGAAGTAAAATGTGTCCAAATGGGTAAGGAAGAAGTAAAACTCTCAATAAACATTTCTATACACCAATGATGAAGCAGCAGAAAAGAGAAGTTAACAAACAATTCTATTCACAATTGCACCAAAAGTAATATGATTCCTAGGACTAAACCAAATCAAAGAGGTGAAAGAAGTAATCTTTTATTATTTTCTTCCCTCTGCTAGCTTTCAGCTTCATTTGTTGTTCCTTCTCTAGCTCCTTTAGGTTTAAGGTAAGGTGGTTTGAGATTTTTCTTGCTTCTTGTGGTAGACTTGTATTGCCTCTTAGGACTGTTTTCGCTGCATCCCAAAGGTTTTGGACCACTGTATGTTCATTTTCATTTGTTTCCATATATTTCTTTTATTAAATATTTTATATTAAAGATTAGAGCAGAAGTAAATGATACATAAACTGAAAAAAACCAATAACAATAGAACAGGTCAATGAAAGCAGGAGCTGGTTCTTTGAAAAAATTAATAAAATTGATAAACCCCTAGTCAGACTTACCAAAGAAAAAGAGAAAGGACCCAAATAAATAAAATCACAAAAGAGAGAGGATAAATAACAACCAACACCACAGAAAGACAAACAATTATAAGAGAAAATTATGAAAAATTGCATGCCAACAAATTGGACAACCTGGAAGAAATGGATTAATTCCTAGAAGCATATAAACTACTGAAACTGAAGCAGAAAGAAATGGAAAACTTGAACAGACCGATAACCAGCAAAGAAGTTGAATCAGTAATCAAAAATTTTCCAAAACATAAAAGTCCAGGGCCAGATGGCTTCACAGCTGAATTATACTCAACATTTAAAGAAGAGTTAATACCAATTCTTTTCAGACTATTCAAAAAAATAGAAACGGAAGGAAAACTTCCAAATTCATTCTAAGTGGCCAGCATTACCCTAATACTACTAGCTGGTGGAGACTTCACTAAAAAGGAGAACTACAGGCCAATATCCCAATGAACATGGATGAAAAAATTCTCAGTGAAATTCTAGCAAACTGAAATCAACAGTACATTACAAAATCATTCACTGTGATCAACTTGGATTTAGTCTTGTGTTGTAAGTGTGGTTTAATCTTTGCAAATCAATCAGCGTGATATGCCACATTAATAAAAGAAAGGATAAGGATAATACGATCACTTCAGCAGATGCAGAAAAAGGATTTGACAAAATACAACATCCATTTATGATAAAAACCCTCAACAAAGGAGGTTTAGAGGGCATATACCTCAACATAATAAAGGCCATATATGAAAAACCCACAGCTAATGTCATCCTCACTGGGGAAAAAGTGAGAGTTTTCCTTTGTGGTCCGGAACAAGACGGAATGTCCATTCTCACCACTGTTATTTAACATAGTACTGGAAGTTCTAGCCTCAGCAGTCAGACAAGAAAAAGAAATAAAGGCATTTGAATCATCAAGGAAGAAGTAAAACTTTCACTATTTGTAGATGACGTGATACTCTCTATAGAAGAATGTAAAGATATTGCCAAATAACTGCTGGATCTGATACAACAATTCAGTTAAATCACTGGATAGAAAATTAACATACAGAAATCTGTGGCATTACCGTATTCTAATAATGAATCAGTAGAAAGAGAAAATAAGGAATCAATTTCATTTACAATTGCACCAAAAACATAACCTAGTAATAAACCTAGCTAAAAAGTTGAATGACCTGTATTCTGAAAAGTATAAAACACTGATGAAAGAAATTGAAGATGAGGGGTGCCTTGGTGGTTCAGTCGATTAAGCGTTGTACTCTTGATTTCAGGTCAGGTCATGATCTTAGGGTCATGAGATCAAGCCCTACATTAGGCACTGTTCTGGACATGGAGCCTGCTTAAGCTTCTCTCCCTCCTTCTGCCCCTCCACTGCTGCTTGCTGTAAAAAACAAACAAACAAACAAACAAAACAAAGAAATTGTCAATGACACAAAGAAATGGAAGGACAGTTAAAATGTCTATTACCCAAAAGAATGTATATATTTACTGAAATCCCTGTCAAAATACCAACAGCGTTTTTCATAGAGCTAGAACAAAGAATTCTAAAATTTTCATGGAACCACAAAAGAGCCTGCATAGTTAAAGCAACCTTGAGAAAGAAAAGTTGTGAAGGCATCACAGTTCCACACTTTAAATTGTATTACAAAATTGTAGTGATCAAAATAGTATGGCATTGTCATAAAAATGGACACATCAATGAAACAACAGAAAACTCAGAAATGAACCCACAACTATAGACAATGTTGGAGCAAGCAAGAAAGACTGTTCAAGCAGAATAAGACAGTGTCTTCAAGAAATGGTGTTTAGGAAACTGGACAACAACTTGCAAAAGAATGAAACTGGACCACTTTCTTATACCATATACAAATACAATTCAAAATGGATTAAAGCCCTAATTGTGAAACCTGAAATCATCAAAATCCTAGAAGAGAAGACAGGCAGTAACCTCTTTGACATTGGCTGTAGAAACTTCTTTCTAGATCTGTCTCCTGTGGCAAGGGAAAGAAAAGCAAAAATAAACTTTGGGACTGCATCAAAATAAAAAGTTTTTGTATAGCAAAAGAAATAATAAAAAGAATAAAATGCAACCTATTGAATGTGAGAAGGTATTTAGAAATGACATATCTGATAAGGGGTTAGTATCCAAATATGACATAACTGATAAGGGGTTAGTATCCAAATAAAGAACTTAAAAAAAGCTCAACACCCAAAAAACAAATAATCCAGTTAAAAAATCTTAGAAGACATGAATAGACATTTTTAGGAAGAAGACATACAGATGGCCAAGAGACCTATGAAAAGATGTTCAACATCTCTGATCATCAGGGACATGCAAATCAGGACTACAATAAGATAATCATTTCACGCCTCTGTGGATGGCTAAAATCAACATCACAAGAAACAACAGCTATTTTGAGGATGTGGAGAAAGGGGAACCCTCTTACACTGTTGGTGGGAATGCAGACTGGTGTAGCCACTATGGAAAACAGCATGGAATTTTGTCCAAAATTTAAAAATAGAACTATGGTATGATTCAGCAATTGCACTACTAGATAATTACCAAAAGAATTCAAAAATACTAATTCAAATGTATATATGCACCTCTATGTTTATAGTAGCATTTTCTACAATAGCCAAATTATGAAAATAGCCCAAGTGTCCACCGACTGAGGAACGGTTAAAGATATAGTATATATATACAGTGAAAAATTACCCAGCCATAAAAAAGAATGAAATCTTACCATTTGCAGTGACATGGATGGAGCTAGATAGTATTATGGTAAGTGAAAGAAGTCCATCAGAGAAGGACAAATACCACATAATTTCACTTGTGGAATTTAAGAAACAAAACACACAAGTAATAGGGAAAAAATAAGCGAGACACACACACACACACACACAAATCAAGAAATGGACTTTTAATTATGGAGAAGAGAGGATGGTTACCAGAGGGGAAGGAGGTGGGGCAGATGGATTACATAGGTGGTGGGGATTAAGGAGTGCACTGTTTTGAGCACCTGGTATTGTATTGAAATGTTGAATTACCATGTTGTACATCTGAAAGTAATACAACACTAATGTTTTCTAATTGGAATGAAAATAAAAATAAAAATAGTAATATCAGAAGTAGTATCTCCAGTGCAAACCTAAAGTGTTCTTTTTAGAATATCATTGATTTTGATAATAACATTTCATGTCACAGTTAAGGGAATGTAATTATTAAACTGGTCCAAGGTATCTTTTGGTTTTTTGTGTAGTGTCTTAGAGTAATATAAGCACAGTCACAGTGACACTTATCTCTATCCTAATGATTTTCAAATTAAGGAATGGCTTCAAATTAGGAAAGCTTTTTGTTAACCTAGCTTTGGAATGGCATGATGTATGCTAATTGCTAACTTTGCATTATTTTTTTAAAGATCAAATGGGCACAGTGGTAATTTTCATTAATCTCATACAGAGCAGCTAATTAAAATTTCCATTATTCTCTCTCCATTATCTAGTTGTTTCCTTTGTTCGGTATCAGGATAGTATGTTAATAATAAGTCATTCTTATATTGCAGCCCTATTAAATATAGTGAGAATTAGTTTAATCTATTGCACTGTTTTGGTTTTACATGATTTCTTTAACATCATATTGCACTATATTGATTGTGCTGAAGATACTTAGGCATTTGTAATAGAGATTTCATAATTAAATATTTGGTGCTTTAATTTTTTATTCAACATTGGGAGAAAGTGACGACATATGGTGGGAAAAGAAGGAACCTGAGGACCAGAATATTAGTGTTTTTTTCTTGTAACCTCACTAATTAGGTGACCATGGACAGTCACCATGATTCTCCATTTCTGTAATGATGCTATTAGATGAGGTGATATTTAAGGGTCAGCTCATCTTTTACAGGCTATTATGTTTTCTTAGTCTTCAAATATGAATTATGTTAAAACCTGTGAAAGCTTGATAAAAGGTATTTGTTTTATAAGGTTATGTATTTTTTGTATTGCTCTATTAGATTGCTTCCAGTACTTATAACCACAAAATATCCTAAATTATATAATTTATACCTGTTTCTAAGAGTTGGGGGAGGAGGGAGTCCCAGGGTGTTGGGCTGGCCCAGTTTTTCCATGAGGAATAAATATCTCAGCCATGACCATATAGTAGAAGGGAACAAACATTTCTGAGCAGCTTACTTTGTCTATGAGACAACACAGACGAAATGCCTGTTTTGACCACTTTATATGTATGTATTGTCTCACTTAATCCTTATAATAAACATGAGGGGTCAGTGTCTATTATCCTATATCATGAATGAGTAAACAGGTTTATAGAGATTTGTTGAGTAGTCTCAAAGATTACCTAGATGATAAGTGAAGGTGGCACAGTTCAAACCTAGTGACAGTTCGAGCTATTCCTAAGATTCTGTACGCGATCTCAATTTATTCTACACTAGCATTTCTGAATATATGGTAATGGAACATCTCAGAAGTGTAATATTGTGAAGCAAAACTAAACTGAGTTTTGAAGCTTCAGCATGTTTAAACTCATCAGACATTCACCCATTTATTTATTCACCATTCATTCATCTCTCTATCCATTCATTAAAGAAAGATGTTTTGAGGGGCACCTGGATGTCTCGGATGGTTAAGCTGAGGTCTTGATTTCAGGGTTGTGAGTTTAAGCCCCATGTTAAAGTGCCCAGCATGGAGCCTACTTAAAAAAAGAAAAAAAGAAATATGTTTTGAATACTTACTGTGTCCCAAGCATTGTGTTAAGATCTGGAGATATAGTGGTGAACAAGGTTGGCAGGATTTCTGCCTCATAGAGCTTATGTTTTAATGAGGAAGACACAGTAAACAAGTACTAAACAATATAAGGTTACATCGAGCCAGTACTATAAATGAGATTTAAAATGATGTGATGATGAATGTGGTAGGGAGGGGACTATTGGGCTGAGACTTAGATGATGAGTTAGGGATGGAAATGTCAGGAATAAGAATCCTCCAGGCAGAGAAAGCAGCAAATATAAAGGTCATTCTATAGTAATAAACTCATGTACAAGCCTCCAGGGAAGGATTGGTAGGGCCTTGTTATCCATTAATTAAGAAAATGAGTTTGAGGGTCAAATCAAAGTGGTCTGTGACTGCAGACTTGCAACATTTTATACTATAAATGTTTACTTGCTATCATTCTTTGTGGATCTACAGCCTTAAGAGTTGGGTAAATAAGTTATAGAAATGTGGAAAAGATTTCATGGTGATGTTTTTACTTTGCCATCTATGTCGTGATTTATTCAGTAGAAGTCTTGAACATCTGTATATCCTAACAAATAAAGAAAAAATCAAGTTTGCATTACACAAAATATGGGATCTAAAACTATGAAGTTGTATTCCTTGTTCTGTAATTATTATGGTCAATTCAATAATAGCACACTTATTTTGAGGCTCACTGAATTGAATAACTGTGTTAGATACTTAGCATAGAGTTCTGAGTCTATAAGAGTGATAGACACAAATAATGACCTTTGCCCCAATGTCTTAAGTGTTATAATAGTGATAGTGCTGCAGCACTATAAGGGAATACAAGTCCCCTATATAAGACTTTATTAGACCTCAGGGGTGCTTGGGTGGCTCAGTTGGTTATGTGTCTGCCTTTGGCTCAGGTCATGATCCCAGGATCCTGGGATCGAGCCTCATGTCTGACTCCCTGCTCAATGGGCAGTCTACTTCTCCTCTGCCCTTCCCCCTGCTCATGCTGTCTGTCTGTCTTTATCTCAGATAAATAAATAAAATCTAAAAAAAAGACTTTATTGGACTTCAAACACTATTCAATGGAATTAAAAAAATTCAGACATTAAGAATGATTGTCAATTTCTATATTGAGGAGGCATTCTCGATAAAAGGCAAACACCATGAAACCCTATGTAATCCATTTCTCATTATTAACACATTGGGTTTTTTTTTTTTTTTAAATTCTATATCCTCTAATGATGTGTCTTCTACCAAATTGAAAAAAAAAATGCTTTCTTTATTCTAGCTTAGGTACTTACAGAAACTAAGTGTGATTAGTATGAACTTGGAAAATGCGCCTTAAACTAGAATTTTAATTCTGAGGAATATGTTTGTAATATACATAATCATAACTGTCCCATTCGTATATCTAGAATGTGAACCTGAGTGACTAGTACAATGGATGTATTGATGATGTTTTCCTCTCAGTCTTTTCTTACTTACTTCAAACTACTTACAAGGTTATGGCAAGGTGATGATGCTAAGGAGCTGTGATGAGATAATGAGTTTTAGAAATAACCCCATGTATATTGGAAATTAAGCTAAAAACTAGTCATTATCAGATAAATGCATTTAATGATTTTTTAAGATTAATCTGCAACATGGGAGTAATATAGGAAGGAATAGTTGGGAATTAGTGAATACTTTAGATTAATTTGATTAACATACTAAGTGGAGACTGTATTGTTTTACATTTTAATAACTGTTTTCACTTGTTTTTTGAGGTAGGCTAATTCTCTGATATATTTCAACAGTTTGGGGATATCTATAATGTTTTATATTAAATTTTGTTCACTGTATTTTGTGGCATAGAACATAAGCATATTAACTAGGAAACTTAATAAGATGATTTGTAAATGTTCATCCTGTGGGTTTAGGAGGGCCAGCTAATGTTAATGCTAGTGCCTGGATTGTAAATTTAAGCATCCCTGTCAGTGACACTTAATCTCAAATCCATAGTCTATTCAGACTATGAGCACCAGCAGTGTCATTTTCTTTTAAATGAGAATGAGGGAAGTGCTGAGATATATATAACATGATTTTATTTATTTTTATTTTTTTTAAAGATTTTATTTATTTATTTGAGAGAGAGAGAATGAGAGAGAAGAGGGTCAGAGGGAGAAGCAGACTCCCTGCTGAGCAGGGAGCCCGATGTGGGACTCGATCCCGGGACTCCAGGATCATGACCTGAGCCGAAGGCAGTCGCTTAACCAACTGAGCCACCCAGGCGCCCTATATAACATGATTTTACCACGTCAGTTCTATGACCAAGAATTTTTAAGTGCATAGCACTCTGCACACATTTTTCTACAGTAAAATATTTACATATTCTATGCATTATTTATTTTAAAAGTTATTTTAAAACCTGTTGTTTGTCTAACATGGTATTTTTTTTATAGGGAGGGCTGAAAAACAGCAAACATGAATGCACCTTATCTTCACAAGAATATGTTCATGAATTACGATCTGGTATTTCAGATGAGAAACTTCTTAACTGCCTTGAATCTCTGAGGGTTTCTTTAACCAGCAATCCTGTCAGGTAGGTGGTTCTTATTATTTTGGTATGATTCTTGCAATTTGTACTGAATGTAGTTGTTAGGAATACAATCAGTTACATCATTTTAACCTCAAGATTTTCTGAACAGCAGTCTGATATTAGCTAATAAAACAGCAATGTCTGATTATGAGGTTGTAAACATTTAAAAAGTATAGTTATTTTGATCTCTGAATAATGTGCAATTTTAAGAATACAAATATTACTTGGATGTTTAATTCCTCTTTTATTATATAATACATGGATCTAGAAGTTAAAAATCCACATTTACTTGGCAGTTTGTTTGCACAGATAACAATTATTATGTATTTATTTGTAAAACAAATTAAATATATTGGCTCTGATATTCATTTTTTGCTTGAGAAATAAATAGTTTTATATTATATGTTTTAGATATACTGTTCACATATTTTTGTAATTTGGGATAGCAAAAATTAAATTATTTTAACCAGTAAAAGGAATGAGAGAAAGTATTAATAAACTCAAAGCTCTACACATTTAGGCTATTTTCTTTTTCTCTTTTTCTAAAGATTTATTTATTTATTTATTTGAGAGAGAGAAAACAAGCGCTGGGGAGGGGTAGAGGGAGAGAGAGAGAGAGAGAAGCAGACTCCCTGCTGAGCAGGAAGCCCAACGCAGGGCTTGATCCCAGGACCTGGAGATCTTGACCTGAGCTGAAGGCAGATGCCTAACCGACTGAGCCACCCAGGCGCCCCTAGGCTATTTTCTAACTACAAAGGATTTTTAAAGAAGTTCCTTGCCAGTGGTGGATTCCAATAACTGATGTTCTTTATTATCATAAAAAAACTTTTTAGGTTAATTATAACCAAAATAAAATGTTTTATGAGGAAAAATAGGTTTTCAGTGTAATATGAAAATATTCTGGGTGATACTCATATAAATTGCTGTAATCTTAAGTTCACAAATTACTGCATAGAAGTATACAGAAATGGTATTTTGGTTTTATTCATGTTTTTCCTAATATATAATGGAGCCCACAGTTTGTATTTCTCTGACCTATTGATAGAGCCTTGAAAATAATTTAGAGCTCATTTGAATTGAAGTAGAAATTGAAATCTATCATACTATTTATTTTTACATAGTACATTTGTCAGAATAACTGAAAAATTATAATTCTATAATAAAAACTTTACAAAGGCAGTGGTAAGATGTGACTTACCTTTGAATATGATGTTCATTCAAAGATGACTATCTTGTAATTACTTCTAGAATGTTTCTGGTTTTAATGATTTGAACAAGGATGTGAGTTGAGAACCGTAACCATTTTTGTGCTCCTCCCCATGTAAACCTTCAGCTCTTTACCATAGTGCACTTACGTGCTCTGAAAATTTCTGTTGAGTAGTTGATTATATGGGTGAATAAATGAATATTTAAGAAGTGAGTGTAGAAAAAATTCTGGCATTTAGGAATGAAGGGGAGGGGTAGCTAGTAATAAAGATGTTAAGAAAGGCTTGAAATTACACGCCAGGCCTTTAAAATACAGCCCAGCAACTACAAGACAACTCCACAGAATTATGGGACCAGGTGAGAAACTGGTAGGTCCTGATTGGCTGGAGGCAGCAGCATTCTGGTAGCTGATTGGCTCCACAGGTCGCGTGAGGCTGCTTGCGTCACCACACATCGAAGCTTCTGGTGGTAAACTTCTGTACCCACCTGAGGAACTCACTGACTAGAGCGAAAACCTACCTCCTAATCTCTCTGAGCTCTCCTTAAGGATGAGTGAGAATGGTTTTGTGAGCTATGGCAGCGTTTCTGCTGTGGGTGGAGCCATTGGAAGCAATGACCAACCATTTCAGGGTGGTGCAGCTCCTGCTACTAAGGCCCCAAGATCGAGGGTTCGAATCCAGGATATTATACCTTGTGTAAACCAGCTGCTCACCTCCGCCCTGGTTGACAATGTCTTCAAGATTAGGGGAATTGAAGTTTCCCAGGTCTCTCTTGTGGGGATAACCAGAAAGGCAGAGAGGGCTTCCAACTACATTCTTTACAGTATTGATGATATGACCACCAAGCCTATTGAGGTCTGCCAGTGGCTCAGAAGAAATAAAGCAAAACAGAGGATGTCGCTTCTTCCAGTGGGAGTATATGTCAAAGTGATTGGTATCCTCAAATGTTTTAAGGAAGTAAAGGGCCTTGAAGTCTTGAATATCCGTGTCCTGGAGGACATGAATAAGTTCACCACACATACTCTGGAAACTGTCAATGCACATATGATGTTGGATAAAGCCCACCACGTGGCCTCTGGGCCCAGTGCACCTGTTGTCCCATCAAAAATAGATGAGGTCCAAAAGTATGGTGATTACTACCACCTCGACTTCATCCACAAGGAAGTTCTGCATTTGATCCATCACTGTCCTCGACAGGAAGGCAAAAGTTTGCACGAGCTCCAGACCCAGCTTCACAGCCTGAGCGACGGGGCTGACCACTGAGGGCTACAGTTACCCCACTGTGGATGAAGAGCATTTTAAATCTGCTGATTGAAGCGATGAAAAGATTTTTCATTTTCCAAAGATCCTTGCCTCCCTCTGTGAGTGAGTTTAAACCTGTTGACTTTTAGGAAGTAGATTTTTTTCAACAAAGTATCTCAGGTGGCATACTTTGGAACCTCACTGCTTTTCCAAATGCTTTGAACTTCTCTGTTTTTCTAACTGTATTTGAAGCTCAGAAGGAGATGGTGATGGAGAAATTGACTGGACTTTTTGTAGGATTAGCCAGCAAGCAAATGAAAACAGTCCTGGATGAATGAATTTGGGAGAGAAAAGGTACAGAAAAAAATGGAAAATTGTTATTTGTTGTGTGGGAGCTTCTTTTTCTGAAATATCCATATATTAGGAGAATATAGAATCAGTCAAGGAACCAGTTGAGAGAAAAACAAAAATTCTATTGTTTTTACGTTAGACTTATTTTCTGTGTTTGGATTTAGCTTATAATCCTATTATCTCTTGCTAAATATAGTAATTGGTTAATTTGAATGTGCTAAAGAGAGTAAGTTATGAATTGAAGTGCTCAGTTCAATATTTATTGAGTGATTTGCTCTTATTACCATAGATTTATTTTTAAAAAATAAAATTATAGTATGTTTAACAGCTCTTATTACCACAGGTTTATGTTTTTTAAAAAAGTAAGATTATACTACCTTTAAATGCCAGCTTTTATTAACATGTTTATGTTAAAAAATAAGATTATGACTAAATAACAGCAAACATAGAGTACACTATGTTTAAGTATACTATTTAAAAAATAAAATTATAGTATGTTTGAAAAATTTTTTCTATAATGTGATTAGGTTTAATGATTATTTCAAATATAATGTGTTGATATTTGGATTAAATTACAATCCATTGTAGTTGCATGGTACATTGATACCAGATTTTCTGTGAGTTTGATGTTCTGATCGATTCTGTATAGTTCTAAATGCTCAGTTTTATGTATGACAAAGGTTTATTCTTACAGGTTAAGCAAAGAAATAAAAATTAATTATATGAATATTAAGCTTAGTAAATAACTGAAATTTTATTTGAATATTTTATTAAAATACTTCTTGAAAAATCTTGCCTCTCCTGTGTGATTTTTGTCCTAATTTTACTTGAAAAGCCTCTTGTTTTTTTTTTTTTTTTTAAGATTTTTTTTATTTATTTATTAGAGAGAGAATGAGAGATAGAGGGCATGAGAGGGAAGAGGGTCGGAGGGAGAAGCAGACTCCCTGCTGAGCAGGGAGCCCGATGTGGGACTCGATCCCGGGACTCCAGGATCATGACCTGAG